CTTGTCATCATAACAAGGTAAATGTACATCGGCAATCTTACCTAATTATACAGTATTAAAAAGAATGAGACTGTATGCCGATTTGAACAGCGCTATGTGTACGATTGCAATCTTGCTTTAGCAATGTTATCTTTTTTTGCAAGAGTTTGCTAAATGGGAATGTTTTAAAATCATCTATAAAAAGAATTGTAAAAGGATTGCTCAGATGTTTCTGCTATGACGAGAAAGACTGAAATGTAAACTCCTTTCTGTTATAATAGTTTTTTTTGGGCATAGAGACTTTACTGATTTTTGGTACTCTTATAAACCGAAAGTTTGTACACTTTTTAAACTTTTTGTTATTTGTCCATTTTTTGGAAATGTCTCTTTAACAGCTAAAATACTCCTATAGTCAGCATCACCTTGCTTTTTCAGTAAAAACTTTTATCATTTATGTAAAACGATACAACAAAACGACTGGGTAAGATGACTATTGAAATTTTTCTTTTGGTAGAATTCGTGATAAATGAATTAACGATCATCCATAAGGGAATAGATATGAGACATTGAGACAAACTATATAAATACCTATCTACAAGGTGTATCAAAACAACAATGTCTAGGAAAATCAATCATAGCAAGGAGCAATCTATCTCTGGTCAGAATCTTCTTTAAACGCTCCGTCAACTTATTAACGAGCGTCCTAATTATCTAATAATATGACCCTTTTAAAGAAGCAATTCAAAGGCAAATAATAAAGACAACTATGACAGATGGGTAGAAATAGTCCCTGGATTTCTTTTGCATGCTATTCTGAGAAATGTCTTTTATGTTCCAAATCTGATCACAAACCTACAATTCGTCTCTTTAAAAAGAGTATCTTCCTAAATGAAAACGGACATAACTAAAGTGCCCAAAAATAAAAGGAATAGGATTCGACTAAGAATCTAGTTAAGGTTCCTACAAACTATCTTAACAATGTGAACCCAAGGGCTGATATCGACAAGAGCCTAAAGGACCAAGATTCTGACTGCAGATATGCACGAAAAATATTCTAAAACAACATTCAATAAAAACCTGCTGATTTACGAGAGAGATGAAAGGTTCACGACCTTGAGTTATTTGGAATCCATTGCCTTGGTTATCTCCTCGAAAAGCAAACAGCGAATTTCCATGGGATACCAGAGTTTAAACAACGATATTTCTTGAATGGAGTATATAAAGGTAACAGAGGTATTCAATATTGGACAATCCAAAAAGACAATACAAGCCAAGTGGAGCTCAACGTCTCAAAGGAAAAGGTGGGACTGTTACAATAGAAACAATTCAAAGCTTGAAATATGTTCAAAGAGAGGTTTAAATTCCGAAATTTCATTTTTATAACTTTAATCCCTCGATAGGTTTGAAGTGGCTAAAGTGTCATAAACCAACTTAACGATATCCAAAGTAACTGTATAGCCGCCCTGGAAACTCTTGAAAAACATTATCAATTTGTCCAATTTACAATTTGTGTTTAGGTCATTCGTTGTTGAAAGTTTCGAGTTGTATCAGTCTTTGAATAATGCAACCAATATACCACTTAAAAGAACCACAAATTGACAGGGAAGAGGACGTCAGGACAATTATACAGACGTTTCTTTTTCAGTTCTCGGAGAAGGCGTACGGTGGGCCTTCGTTCAATCGCCCGGCTTGCTGTTTTGCGCCGCATATTTATGGAGCCGGCAAAACATTTCTAGGCCAAAACTTTTTGGCCTATTTGAATATTTTTGCAGAGCGTGAGTGTTCCAATGCACAGGCTTTTCAACAACTACACAGTTCAAACGATAACCCCCAACCGAGTGCGTTGAAGGTGCCTTGGAAACACTTTGCGGAACAAACTTTGTCAGTTATCTTAGAACTAAGAGAGAGCTTTTTTCGTGCTCCTTTTTCAAGTTTTCGAAAGGCTTTGATGTATAACATAGCTCTGGCTACAGCCGAATGTAATGGTATGACTGCCCGAGAAACTGTAGAATTCACGGACGCAGCGATGAAGCAACCTAGTGTTCTTTTTTTCCAGTATCTTCTCGAACAATTTCAGAAACGATATTTATTTTTGATGATAGACGAACTTAGCCACCTGGGTGACCTCACCAAATACTATAGTGAACTTACCACGAAACAGTTTTTTGAGTCTGACCCAAAATATGTACCTTTCCGGAATTTCTTCCGTATTTTACGTAGTTTTTTGATTACAGGGAAGGTAATTGTCTATGTGGCAGGTCGAACTGCTGAAATCTCAGCCCCCCTGTCTGATGCTCGCTCCAGTAGAGTGAGTCTCCGTATGTTGCGGTTGAATCTCTTTAACCTCCATGATATTAACGAATATATTGAGCTGGCAACTTATGATGGAAAGTCCTTGAAGGACTGTTTATTGCCCTCTGATGATTTACGATATCGATTCGTAGAATTGTTGAAGAAGAAGACAGGGGGTATTCCGTTGATTGTAAGGAATACTTTATTAGCCGTAGTGGAGAAAGTTTCAAACTTATCGCAACCTGTTATCAACGATGACAATATGGAACTTTTGTTAGATAGTGTCTTTAGCTCTTTACTACTAGAGTCAGTAACGTTTATTATTCCAGAGATACTAGATTCCGCAACCCTTCTTCGATATCAATTTGTCCTTTTGAATTATCAGCTTGGAACAGTTTTTCCAATTGACTTTGTAATTACTCTATGTGGAACGAGAAGTTATTTGATGGACTTGGTTGCAACTTTTGGGTTTTACTTTGAAATTTGTGAAACTGACGGGATTTATTTGGGCACTGAATTCAAGATTGGTTGTTGTGAATTTATATTGAGAGCTCATAGCAACTATAACTTTTTCCTTGAGGCTACTGAACTCTTTCGTTTATCTCCGTTTAGTTATATTTCCGACATTTCAACAGCAAAGGGAGTCTTCTTTGAATTTGTATTTATGAAGATCTTTCGTTTTCGCTTATTAACTTTTCTTCATTCTAGTTCCTCGCAGATTGTGCATTCTGCTATTCCAGGAATTTTCGAGGGTTCTTTTATTGAACAGGACAATGTTTCTTTTTCTATGGAATCAACAAAATCTAATGATATACCCATCTTGAGAAATGTCTCTGATTCATTTTCTGACCATTATAGAAAATATTTACAACGTTGTGGTATTTTTGTTCCAAAAGATGGCAATTCTAGTGGCGCTGATGCATATGTTGTATTCCATAATGGTAAAACACGTTATGTTGTTGGATTTTCATTTAAATTTTATCACAAAAGTGAATTTTCGAAAAGAAATATTGAGAAGGAAGCAGAACAATTTTTTAAGGGAGTTGTTTCCGTTTTGAATGACGAATCTTTTTCATCTGTTCAACTTTGTTTTCAGTTTGTGGTAGTTTGTGCTAGTTATGGTCGATCTGTAGGTTTCTCTGTTGAAGAACATAATATTGTTGAAGATGCAAGTTATTTGGTTACTGAACATTCTTCGAGGTCAACTTTAAATGAAAGTAGTCGATCACGTCTACAATTGGTAATTGTTTCCCAAAGGAACCTTGAACGATTTTTTGGAAGAGAAAATTTCGAAATTTTGAGGAAAATTGGCAAGGCAAGCCCAGAAGAATTCAGTAAATACTTTTCAGTATGGTGTAAAACTGTCTTTGAATCGATGTCCATTGAATATGTTTCATCTTTGGAAGCTGAGCAATCAAATGTTATTTCAAGAGTGGCTCAACATATGGGACGGAGAATAAATGAGGAGAATAGGATGCAAATGGAAGGTTTTCAAAGTGCTATGCAAGTGGAAGAAGAAAAGACACGAGGCAAACAAAAAGCTGCAGCATCCAGTTCTTTGTCTTCGTCATTTGATTGGAATACTTTCCTAAGAGAATATTGTGGGTTCACGGAAGCTTCGTTTATTGAGCGCTATGCACGTCAACTGCGTGTGTTTAGTCCAAAAACCTTTCCATATTTGGACGACTCTACTTTATTAACCTTTGGTATAGCTCTACAGGACATTCCATTGATAGTTGACGGAATACATGAGTTTCTTGAGCAACAATCGATGAACGTGGATCTTGTTGAAAGATAAACTTTTTCAAGGCTGGGTTATTGTGTTTCTAAAATTGTATTCAGAATATTCAGTGTTTTATAATTACATAGCACCTAGTGCTACCTCTTGTTTCTGCTATTTACTGTTTGGTCATAGCCAACTTAATACACCTCTGTCGATAAGTACTACAATTGTTTTTTTGGAAACAATTTAGAACTGTTTTGCCTTTTGATGTCGCTATTGTATCCATCACGACTGTAGTCGAGATATGAATTCAAATTGTTAGCTTATCCAACTCTCTTGTTATTCCTCTTAAGACAAACTATGACTCGAGTTCTTACTGAAAACCAAAAAGCCAATTCTGACTAAGGAATTTTAATCCTTAGTAATGTTGACAAATAAATAAGCAAGTCTGAAAAGTCTAGAAAATTTGGGTTTGCAATCTATGCCAGCAAGGTTCTGAGTTCAAAAAGCTACTAGAGAATGACGTAAACGTTTCAGTGCTACTTGTTCCATTTGAAACAATTCAGGTGCCTTTTTCTAGTTTGTTTACAGATGCTTTGGAAACATCATAATTAAGCAACTTGCAAAAAGATGGCTCTGCAATAAAAGGGTGACACCCTTATTTAAAGCGTTTTTCAAATCTACATGCAGCTTGATATTTACAAATATTGAAAATTGAGACAACTCATGGGGTTATTGCTTTACGATTAAGATTGGAAAGAAACGGCAGACTAGTAGAGTTGGTCTGTTAAACAGAATCTTGGACATTCATTGCACTATCATCTTATGGAGGGTTTTGAGACTGACAATTTAAAACACAGCTGAAGATGGACAACTCAGGCACATATTTCTACTTTCTTAGACTTGGAAATAATTTATTCATTTATTATAACAGAGAAAAAAGAAACAGAGGATAGAATAAAATGTTGTTCTGGAGGAAATGGTTGATTCTTTCTCGATAGAATCCAAGAGTTGAGTTAGACCATACAAGCTAAACACATACTGTCATTTCGTACTCGAAGAGAACGCATAGAACAACCGTGATTTGAGAATCTGGTTTCTGAATCTGACATGACGATTGGTTCTGGCAAGAGAAGCCGAAACACTTTAAAAATCCAATAGAAGTGGTTCATGTTCGATATGCCTCCTCTACTTAACAAAGTATCCGCTGGACACAACATGATTTGAATAGAGTTGCATCGTAGAGAGAAAAGCAATATGCGGGAACGAGAGAACTTGATCGAGAGCAAGAAACCGAGCAATCGGGCAAAGTCAGCGATTTTTAAAAATTCCAATGTAGAACATTATAAAGACGACTCTTATACTGAAAAGGTAACAGAAGCAGTGCAAACAAAAGAAAAGAGAAGAAAAAAATGAAAGATGGTAAGCTCGCACTCATTCAGTGCAATCGTGTGAGTCGTCTAGCCCTATCGATAATTAATATTTCAAATCAATAGAGAATTGATCAAAGGCATCACAATACAAACATCCATTAAAAATGTGCAATGATGGACTCAAGACTTTCCTGTGCTATCCTGGGAAATGAATCGGTTTTACAAAGAGTACAAACATTGCTTACACTGCAAAAACTGCCGCGGAGCTGCAGACTGACTTCTCCTTCTTTAAAATAGCCGCAAAGGACAAAAATCTAACATACAGAAAGTTACTCTGTGAACTGACCAATACACTCAACTGTGAGTCTGGCTGGTTTCTTGTTCTTGAAGAATATCTTGGAAATATTAACCCAAAGACTGATTTCTAACAAACAACTACAAGAGAAGATTTCCAATTGCTAATAAATATGCAAAACTGGTCTGAAACAATATAAGTAAAACTAAATGGACTTGCGAGACAACTAATGAATTAATCCTTTTGTCTAACTAAAACAATGATTTAGTTGGAAATTAAAGACGGAACATTTTCAGCACTAAGCTTGAGCCAAGTTCAAAGCGTTGACAACACTGGCTCTTCTTAGAGTGTTCTGTTTGATGAGAAGGATCGCTATGTACTGTCTCCTTTCACTGGAGGTATAGTATCTTGCAAGGCTAGTGAGCTTTACTAAAGAAAATATTCTAATTGGAGACATAGAAAACGCTACTGGAACAATAAATCTGCTATATATAACCAATCTCACACCGTAGTAATGTTGTGAAAGGAGAAAAATAGTGTTGTAACAAAGCTCCTGTCAATTCACTATCGACACTGTAGCTTTTAACAGAGTTGAGTTTGAACGAAGTTACCTTTACAAGGTCAATTTCAAACTTCCTGTGACCCTATTTCGATAATGCATCAAAAAAAGGTTTTGCTACAACCAGTTTTTGACTTGTTCTCGATCTGAGAATCTTTCTTTATTGGTCACTCAAAATTTTGGAAAATGCAAAATGGTCATTTTCCGATTTGAATGGAAATAACTCTGTTAAGTTGCGGTATGAGAACTACAATCTTTCCTTTTATGCAAACTACGCTCAAGGAACAGTCTTTGTGCCAGTATATGCTGCAAAGAAGAAGAATGGGTGTGTCCAACCCTAGAATAGGAAAGTATACAGAAGATAGGGTTATAGTAGAAAACTGATCAAAGGTTGTGAATACTTTTGTCTATATACAAATTCGTACACAAACTACTTACGATAATGAGGATTGAGCCTCAAACAGTAAGAACTTGTTGAAAGTTTTGACTGATATAAAAGTGGTAATGCTTTCGCTTCTCCTTGAACGTATATTTCAAGATTTATCTTTTTTTTATTGCTTTGCAAATAGAAGATGAAAGATTCTTATTTTTCCGTTATTTCCACATTTATTCTTTTTTTCACTAGTTCAGGAAATTCATCCAATATGTTCGAGAGACGTAGACCTTTGCAAGTTTGGATAACAACCACAATAAATTTAATGAAATAGACTCAGCAAAGTATTATTGCATCGACTTGACGACATTTTCATTCTTTGTAGAGCAACTTGGATAAAAGCGTTTCTCTTCGTTTTCAAGTTTAACTTGTTCCTAGTAGAAATGAACATTTCTTGTATTGATAGACCCGTTTGTATATACATTTGAGTTGTCTTTGCTTCTCGTTACAAATATCCAAAAATATCTCTCTACCAGTATACCCATCAGGTTATATTTTGCAAGAGTCTTCTTGCAAGTGTCTAACGCAAGTGACTTTTGTATAATGATTCACTTATTCAAAGAGCTGATGGATGACAATGGAAGAAGAATAGGAGTCAACTGGAGCAGAACAAATCTTTCCTTGAAATTGCTGAGCTTTTAAAGTTTTACCTTTCTTTGTATTGGAAGAGATAATAGCCCTCTTGGGGTTATCCAGGTCCTAAAGCAGCTTTGTATTTTGTATAGCTTGCTTTCTTGTATATCTTTACAATTTGTGGTTTTTACAAAGTTTATCGTACAGGAGGATGCGACAAGAGCCGTTAAACCTAAACAGTCATGTTTTCTCTCGAAAGCACCTCAACGATGTAGCCGATAACTGAGGAGAGAGAATTCAACCATATTTCAAATGCTATGAGATACGAGAAGAGAGTCGATACGATAGTCTCAATCGAACTGAATTGAATTTTTTGAAAATAAGTTTTCTCTCGACAGAATCCACAGTATCAAATGTTACTACGGTCTTCGAGTATTTTCAGAGAAAGAGACAGGATTTATCGACTGTAATTACAGAAATTGGGTATTGATGATACATTTGTATGCATGTCATTCTGGCATAACGACAATGCAACGCTGCTCTTCTTTGAATACGCAATGTACAAATTGGTAACATCTTTCATTGTACATGCTTCCCATGAAGTCTTCAGGAAATTTTTTGAGAATAGCGTTTTTCAATGCGATGAGTTGAAAATGCAATATCAGTGGAAGCTAACTGTATGGATATATTTGTTTCTTGAATTTTGAATAATTTCAACTATCTCAAAGCAGATTTCTCCTTTCTTACGATCACGACAAGAAGTAGCTTATCACTAAAACTTCAAAGGTTGATGATAGCAAAAGAAAAACCAAAAAATGTGCGAAGAACGATCAAAAATATCTCGTAGTTTTATCGGAAACCAGAAATGTTGTCTATTTCTCATTTCGTTTCTCATGTCAGAAACAACATTGACTAGCCGAAACGCCGATATGATATTTCACAACTGGACTTCCAACTATTACTTCTATTTTTAAAATATCAAATCATTATTATTATAAAATGGAATAACAAAATGAAACCTCAAATCTCATATTCATAAATCTGAAATGGAAGTTTCCACTACAACATCATGAAATGTTTGCCATATCTGCACAATCCTTCTTTTTGCAACTACCATTGTTTATTTTGCAAAGGATTACACTAAAGGCTTTTTCTTCAATTCCTCTGGAAAAGCCTGAACTTCAAATTCTTCTGTATTAATAAAAGGCCAGCAGTCCTCTCTTTCCCATTCTCAAGCATAATCGAACAGAAAAGGTCTTGTATGAACTTCTGACATCAGCTCTACCTCTTCACAAGATATTTTAAGTCTAGCCACATCATCTTATAAGGTTTCTGCTAAAGCAACAACATCTCTTTGAATGCAAAGGGTTCCATGAGCACCTGTCGAATAAAGCTTGTGAAAATAACGGTGCTGCCTTAAGCTCAAGTGTTTCAAACAATTTTGATTAGGCCATGAGCGGTATCAACTTTCAAAAATCAAAATCACGAATTTCATTTCTTATTTTAAAAGTGGAGATACTATTTCTTCAGTTCAAGTTTATAATTCTAATATTAATACAGAAAGTGCTTATGAGACAGAAGGAGCACAGATGCATAAGATTATTCAAGATCTAATGAAGCAAAGACTACTGGTCAAACTAATAAAGTGGCGAGTTCAGGTGATAACACTGCAGTAGAAAGTGCCATACCATTCAACAGTAGGAGTTGCAACGGCAGCAAAAACGACACTCTCTTTCTTGGGGTTCTATTGAGAATATTGTTGGACTATGTTCGACAGTTACAACAAGCGAAGAAAGCTTGCGCAAAACCAGTTTGTCCAGAAAATTGGAGAATCCAAAGGTAGAGATTCTTCAGAAAGTGAAGATTTTTCCAAGGCATCAGCAAGTTGAGCTTCTCAAATATGTTCATAGGTGCCGCAATCGTAAATGATGAAGCATTCTCTTTATTGAAGAACAAGGCAATGTAAAGTCGTAGATATTCAAAAAACGGAGAATTGTTTGCAGTGACTTGAAAGATTTGTTTTGCTTCGTTATTCTAGAACAGTAGCGTCCGATAATTGCCAAGTCTTGTTGTTGGTTCCATTTATTGACAAATGCAAGCATTTAAAGATCCTAATATCGAATCTATACATTTATCATCATTCGAATGTACACTCTAGCCATAACTGAAGGAATTTCAAATTGTTCCAAATAGGAAAACGATAATTTTTTTGGTTCTTTATACATAATCAATCGAAAAGATATATCAGCCCCGCTTATTGGCAAAGGTATACTCCTATAGACAATGTCAAAAATTACGAACTTACAAAATCTCTTCCCAAGTATTTTTTATCTTTTTAGCAGTGTAAATAGTTTTTTCAAGTAGAAATTTCATCAGCCTGCTGCTGTCAAAGCTAAACAACATTACGACTCCACATTGCATTTAGCCCTGAATCAAACATATCCTTTCCTTCTCTTCTTGCCTCATATTTCAATGGTTCGACGAGTAGATTGGACTACAAGTAGAAATAAGTTTAAAAGTAAAATGAGAAGATTCAATTTCATTTGTTTATTCTTGCCACTTGGGAAAAAGGAGATATAGTTTATCTACCAGACAATATCTAGAGTAAGATCCTTTGAATTCCAATTTGTCTTAAAACGAAAAGCAGGAGCAAAAGATGACCGAAACGAAAATTCATGAGAATGCAGTCAAGGAAGGTACCAAATATTTAAGCGCTTGTTCCATTACATAAACAGAAGGACTTTATAAATTGTAAAACTTGATGTCATCAAATTTGAAAACAAGACTAGCAAGAATAGGAATTCCTTTGTGGAAGTTCAAAAAGTCACTAGCCTTCTTCATTCGTGCTAGGTTAAACAGAGCGTCATCAGGAAAGCGTGCTGTAAAAATTTGGCAATAAAGATAAGAAATGGCAAGTTATGGCTGTTGGCTTCGATTCAAAGGCATAATAAAAGAAAGGGGAAAACCAAGGGAGGATAAAGTTATATTACCGAAATGGCACTCTTATTAGGTCCTGTCAATACTACCTCCCTTAGAAAAGAAACTATGAAGAATTAAAATAGCATATATTCTATTGACGTGATTCGAATATTACAGAAAAACCACAAAGAGAATAAGCTGGAACGTGGACTTCACAACCTCATTGACAGCTATTCGTGCTCTTGAAGCGCTTGAGAAACAATCTCACTGATACAAACTAAGCAGAAGCAGAAACTGAAGAATCACAACTGATGCATATTGTTTAATAGAAATTGGAAAAACAACACAGTCGCAAGTTTATCAACTCATAGAAGAAACTTTCTTTCAGATTCATCATCCTTTGAAACGCTAGTTGGCTACTTGCTTTCCTTAATCTTTGGAAGATTACTACGCATCACAATATATCTGTCAGTATTCACATGGAGAAGAGTCCACTTACGTGTATCCATAGAAATAATAAGCTGTCTTTAAGATCCAATCTGTAAATGCGGCGCTTCCACCAAAGCTACAAGAAGAGCGAAGATGGTGCATCGAATGCGCAAACTATCCAGTAAAATAATAGTAAGCAGTCTTTGTAAGCAACGGGATAGCAAGAGTTCATACAGAAGATTCACCGATGGGATATTTATAGCCACTATGATCCCAAGGACCCGTAACTGTATTTAAAGTGATGACAAAAAGCTCAAAATATATGTTGGTTTTCTTCATGAAAAAGAAAGGAAGCTAAAAAGGACAAACTTAGAGATTCAATAAAAAAGACAATGCGATATGACATACCATATTTGTGATAACAATTTCAATTAGATAGTCTATGGGAGCCATATAGTGTTGAGAGACAGCCACAGAACCCTTTGTACTATGAAAATCTTCATACATGTATCAAAGTAAACAAGCACCAGTGAGAACTTACGTATGATGCAATTCATGTCCCAAAAGTTGAAATCCCCACTTGGAGTGCAAAAGGAATCGGTGACCGCTGTAAAAGATGATTTCTTGAAGGAACGAATAGAACAAGTAATCTGCAACAAATAGCCAAACCGATAACTAACCACTCTTAGCTTGTCTCTTCTAAAAAATATGCAGAACATCAAATACTTTTGGCCCAAATGAACAAAAAGCGATTCCCAAATATTGTAAAAGAACAAAGCTCGGTAAATAAAAAGCAAACTGATTGAACACAACTCTAGGCAGTAACTAAACACCAAATAAGGACAACTGGATACAACGTTGTCAGTTTCTCCCATACCTGAGTATACGTTTTATGATCCGAATTATGCAACTTGCAACTTGGAAGAAGCTTGTAGTAGTCTAAGAGAGCAAAAATACAACAACTATCAGGACTCAGTTTCCGCGATAGACAGGTTTTCTTTCAGCACTTACGTGACATGGTATGTAACGAACTGAAACAAGAAGCAGGCAACTGATAAAGGCAAACGAACACCAAACACTTCAACTGTATTCATCTGAACAACGATTCAAAACAGACAGTTTTTCAATTTTACCAACTAGTTAAAAGAATGGAAAGCGCTCAAGATTTCAGAATGATACTTGTGTTCTATTGGACAAGGTGGATGATCCGCATTCCAGTTCTCTGAGCTCCAATTCGAGCGATTTCCACTAGACAATGAGCTCGCAAGAGAGGAATGATAGCAGAAGAGAAACTGCTTCATACTGAAATTGATCTTTACAGAGTCTCTCATGTCTAAAAAGTTGTCTTCAGAATTTTACCAGTCTGACGCTTTGATAAACGAAGCATACCATGATAAAGCAGTTGTCGAAGCTGGAGGAATGGAAGATGAAATTCTAGGAGAAGAGAACGCTAACAAAGATGAGAATTATGATAACGACGCTCAGAACCTCATAGAACGATTGCAGCAGGAACAAGAAAGAATGGGATATAAGCTGCGATACGTGCTTTCTATAAAAAATAAGAGATATTTCACTATTGTATTAGCATCCTTGGCAAGCATTGGAGGAATGCTGCTTGGTCTTGATATGAGCACTATCAGTGGAGCCAATCTTTATATGCCTCAAGATATTCATCTAACTTCAAAACAAGATAGTCTAGTTGTATCGGGAGCTCCACTTGGTGCTGTATTTGGGGCCTTCATCATGCCACTTACCAATGAACTACTAGGCAGAAAATGGGCTATTATTGTGGCATGTCTCTTTTATACGGCTGGTGCTATATAACGAAGCTGCAGCAGGGGACTATGGAACAATGATATCTGGAAGATTGTTAGTTGGTGCAGGAGTAGGTCTCGCAGG